CAGGGGATCTTCCCAACCCAGGGATCAGACCCAGGTCCCCCACATTGCAGGCGGATTCTTTACCAGCTAAATCACAAGGGAAGCCCAAGAATACAGGAACGGGTAGCCTATTCCTTCTCCAACAGATCTTCTCGGCCCAGAAATTGAACCAGGGTCTCCTGCATTGCAGGTGGATTCTTTACCAACCAAATCACAAGGGAAGCCCTAATAGCTTAGGTCATTAGTGACTTAAATAGGTCATCAGTGACTTAAATACAGCTTCAGAATGCCCAGAAACTGCACACCATTATGAAGACTGTGTGTTTTGCTCTTATAGTGGCTTTGAGGTTAGGCTATGTGCCTCCTATCTTGCCTTTCAAGGACTGTACATTGTATTCTTATCTGTATTAGTATTTGCATTATTCTTGAATTCATTTCACAATTACTGGATGAGCACCCACTGTGGGTTCTGGGTCAAGACTTTTAGATACTTCCCTGAACCAGGATGCACAGGATTTGCCTTCATGGCGCTCATGGTCTGTGGAGAGGTCACCTACTTGTTGTCTATTCATATGCCTTCATTGTTATGTTCTTCCCACATAGGGCTTTCTTTTTCTCAGATGTTGAGCAGCTTTGTGTTATACTCCTTCCAAATCACAAAAGAATGGTGCAGGGTCATAGCGTGTTATGGTAATGCCATTTTTTCTAGTGATAGCTGGTTAAAGAATGGACATGTCAACCACCAAGGCCACGAGCCCTGAGGGGAAGTCCAGGGTTGGACTTCTGGGAAGGACACCCATGTGTTAAAGAGAAATGAGAATAAACGAGTCTCTTTCTGCTTTTGGACTGGTGTCAATGATGGGGTTGAAAACATGCTACCCCAAAACTTGGCACCTTGGCGTATTAAATATTTTAAGCTGAAGGATTTTGAGAAAACAGGAACAGAAAAACCAATCTGATCTCCTCCCCTGAACTTTCCCCCTGAAACTCATGAATGGAGGGCCCTCATATACCTGGAACAAAGGAACATCACTATTTCTGCAACAAAGTGATGCTCAGAAGGATCCAGACAACAGGTTTCACTAAGTTTTCCCCTTTTTACTGCAATCACCTCCTACTCCCTCACCTGTTATATTTCCATAGAGTGGCCCACTCTTCATTAAACCTAGCATAAAATATGCAGGGCTATTTCTTGAACTCTCCATTTCCTACTGAAGGCTTCCATGTCACATAAAGCTTAAATAAATTTGTATGCTTTTTCCTGTTAATCTGAGAACTATGAGATTATGAGTAAATCATTGTGAAAGGAAAAATCAAAGTGAATGGTAGGTAGAAATAAGGAATTTAACCTAAGTTGTCCTGAGTCCTCATAATATTTTGTTCCTTGAGCCACTAGACTTTTTGTTGTATGAGTACCAGTCAGATGTGTCTGACAGCCAAATACATTCTGATATCATTTTTTTCAGAATAAATAAAAACATTTTCTATTCATTGGAGGATACCTGGGGAAAGCGACAAGGTAAGGGGAAAGCAAATGGACTGAGTGGTAAGAACATAAAAAGTAGAGTTGTAAAAAATAAAGTTAAACATAATATATTTGATATATTGCAGGAGAGATGAAGCAAAGCAAGAAAAAATAGCGAAATCAGTTCTGAAAGCAAATTGCAAGCACAAATCAATTATGACAGCACATTTATACAGCCCACCTGCTGGTCATCTGCATTTAAAGAAGGAGACAACACCATACATGCAGCTCGCATTTGGATAGTGGATTCTAGTGTTAACCTGAAAATACAATGTTGGATAAAGAGTTTCTTAAGTAATAAAAGCAATGTCTCTAGTGACCAAAGTCACAAGACACATTCATTTACAAAGAAGTTGTTTTGAAGCATGTAACTAAAGTAACTTCTAAAGCAATAGTTCCCTAGTCTTTTTGGCACCAGGGACCAGTTTCATGCAAGACAATTTTTCCATGAACTTTGCAGGGCAGTGGAGGGTGTGGGGGTGAGGATGGGTGGAGTGGTGTAGTTTTGGGGTGATTTAAGCACACTGCATTTATTGTTCACTTTATTTCTATTGTTATTATGTCATGATATATAATGAAATGATTATACAATTCACCATAATGCAGAATCCCTGGGAACCCTAACCTTGTTTTTCTGCAGCTAGACAGGCCCAGCTGGGAATAATGGGAGACAGAGACGTCCCAAGTGTGATGTGCTTCTATGGGTAGCTAATGCCACCACTGATCTGACAGGAGGTGGAGCTCAGGTAGTAATACAAGCTATGCGGAGTGGCTATAAATACTGATAAAGCTTCAGTTGCTTACCCACTACTCACCTCCTGTGTGCTGCCTGGTTCCTAAGGTTCCTAACAGGCCACAGGCTGACATGGATCCCTGCTTTGGGACTGGTTAGGGACCCCTGTTCTAAAGCTAATTTAAGCAGTAAGTTGTGCAATCACCTTCAACCTACTTAAAGCTTAGAGGCATATTTCTTAATTCAAAATTAAGCTAGGAAAAAAATCTATCTTTCATCTGCAAGGAAGACAAGATGCCAAAAGTAAATATCCATCAAGAGGGAAAAAAGAAAATGTAAAGGTAGAGAAAGTAGATCAGAAACATAAAGGAAGAGTGAAGAGAAGTACAAATTTAACCACATCATTTTCTCAGGTCCTTATAATCAGACTTTAATTATAAAGTAGCTCAGATTGATATCTTTCTCATAGAAACTGACTTTTTTCATGCCATTCAAGTTCTAGTTTGAGCTCTGCTGTTTGACAGGAAAGCTGTTCACTTGTAAAGTCACTTTTAGGAAGACTGCAAACAGTGTGTTATGATATGCTCTGAATAGAAAATCAATTTTAGGGTTAAGAAGGTTAAAAAAAAAGTTGTCATTTACTTTCACTGTCCAAAGATTTCCATCTTGATTGGGTTAAGGGAACAATGAAAATATACTTTTAAACTTTAAGATAAATATTTTTAATCTTCAGTAACTTCTAAATGGCTAGGCATAAATATCAAGTTTGTAGCCCTGTAACACAGTTCAAGATTACTCAAAATAATGATCTCCCCATCACGATATGTGGTCTGTGATGGAAAGAAATGGGCAATTCAGAAGTGATGCATCTGAACACCACAATGCTGGATATTAGAAAAAAAGAACAGAGATTTTAGATGATTCACCTTATGATTCAGCAAGAATAGCTTAAATAGGTGAGAATGTTTTTATTTAATCTTTTAAAATGATTTCATAGTTCCCATTTTCATTTAAAAATTTTGTTGATACTAGAAGATTATTTAAAAATTTGAACAAAGAGAGCAGAGCAACCCCCACCCCGATACCACTCAGTTTAATCACTATCCTGCCTCTCAACTAGCCTCAGCTTCTTGACATTTACAGAATTCAGAAAGGAGGGAGTGGAACAAAAGAGATAATCTTACCTAGTCCTTTCTTCGGAGAAGGCAATGGCAGCCCACTCCAGTACTCTTGCCTGGAAAATCGAATGGACGGTGGAGCCTGGTAGGCTGCAGTCCATGGGGTCGCTAAGAGTCGGACATGACTGCGTGACTTAATTTTCACTTTTCACTTTCATGCATTGGAGAAGGAAATGGCAGCCCACTCCAATGTTCTTGCCTGGAGAATCCCAGGGACGGGGGAACCTGGTGGGCTGCCGTCTATGGGGTTGCACAGAGTCGGACACGACTGAAGCTACTTAGCAGCAGTGGTGGCATTGTTCTTTTCTTAGGAACAATGTAATATTGTGTATGCTATTTACTTACTAAATATTTAAAATAATAATACAAAAATCACATTGCTTCTAAGTGCGACTTGAAAAACCCATTGTTTCATTTAAACATATTTATGTTAAATACACTGAAGCACTGAAAACTGCACAGTTAACCAGAGCATTTATTAAAAAAAAAACTATTCATGCTGGAGTGGATAGCCCCAGTCCCTTCTCCAGGGGATCTTCCCAAACCAGGGATCCAACTCAGGTGTCCTGAATTGCAGGTGGATTCTTTATCAGCTGAGCCACAGGGAAGCCCCAAATTGAAGCACAAAAAACTGCACAATTAACTAGAACATTTATAAAACACTATTTATATAGCAAAAATTATGCCTCTCAATTAGATAGAAATTAAATTGATTAAATATTTTTGACTGTTTCTAAAGAGGGCAATTTGAGTGCCAAAGAGTAAGATTAGTTTGGCCACCTTCCCAATATGAGAAACCATACTCTGCTGTCTTATTGAGGAACTGAATGATACATTCCATTTAAGCATAAGGTGTAAATGAGTCTGGGTTACTTAGTAGCTGGAGGCTGAAAAGTCTGACTAACTCAAGGAACATTTTGATTACCATTGCTATTTGATTGACAAGTGAAGGAATTAGTTTGGTCAAAACTTTGAATGGATCACATCACTTTCTATTTCATTTTGCATCTATAGGCATTAGTCCTGAATAATTAATTTAAAGTTGGAAATGCATTGACATTGAGATTGATGTCGCTCAGTCATGTCCAACTCTTTGAGACCCCATGGACTGTAGACTACCAGGCTCCTCCATCCATGGAATTTTCCAGGCAAGAGTACTGGAGTGGGTTGCCATTTCCTTCTTAAAATGCATTAGTGATACTTAAAAAAAAAAAAAAAAATGCTGCACTTGAATCAATGTACCTAGGGAGTTGACCTTTCTGAAGGTAAAATATAATTTATAATTTAAAACATGAACAACAAATATATTATTAGGCATATTTGCAAGTTGAAAAAGAGTTGTGAGTGTCTATTGAAATGTGAACACCAGCAATTCAAGTTTTGCAAGTAATTTAGACCTTGAAACTGACAGCAGAACTGCAATACAATGACTATCTGGCTTGAAAGATTTAATAACTGCAGAAAGAACCTCTATTTCAGAGCACACTGGGGATGTAAACTGGTTTATTCCATTGTGCTGCTGCTTGAGGGCTAATAAAATAGAAACAACAGAGCACTTTTAGAATATGATTCCAATGCAGTGTTCATATACAACTCAGTTTATTGAACAATTTAAGTGTGATGCCTGGAAGCCAGAATGAAAATATCTATTTCAGTGGTCATTCCTGAAGTCTGGGTGTGAAGAGAAAATAAGGAGAAGAATTAGAAAATAGACACTTACCACATTATATTCTTATCGGCCATATCTCTACTCGTGGCAGTTTCAATTTTTTTTTCTCTACTGTCCATAAAAATCTTAGTCACAACACATCAACACAAAAGACAATTGAGAGGAGTCCTTGTGTGTACGTATATGTATATATACATACATGTATGTACATATATATGCATATATATGTGTGTGGATATAGGGATATACTTATGTATACACATATACATACATATGCATGCATATGTGTGTGGACCTATGAATACATATATAATCTAAATTGGAAGTGGTTATTGTTATGACCTGAATATTTCTGTCCCACCCAAATCCATATGTTCAAATTCAATCCCCAACATGATACTGTTAGGAGGTGAGGTCCTGGAAAGGCAATTAGGTTTAGATGAATCGTCAGGGTGGAACCCCTGCGAAGGGATGAGTGTCCTCACAAATCTCCCCCTCTCTCAGCACCCATCATGAAGGAAAGGCCCACAGAGAGGCAGCTGTCTGCTGTATAGCCAGGAGGAGGAGAAGGCTCACCTTGAACGCAGTCTGCCAGCATCTTGACCTTGGACTTTCTAGTCTCCAGAACTGAAAGAAATAAACATCTCTTGCTTAAGACACATGATCTTTGGTATTTTGTTACAGAGACTAAAGCTGAATAAGACAGCAATGCTTATACAAATTGAGTATCTCTTCCACGCTATTTGTTTGGAACTAAAGGCATTTAAAAAAATGTATTTACTTATTTTAATTGGAGGATAATTACTTTACAATATTGTGATGGCTTTTGCCATACAGTAAGAATTGGCCATACATATACAAGTGTCCCCTCGATCCTGAACCCGTCTCCCATCTCCCTTCCTAGCCTACCCCTCCAGATTGTCACAGAGCACTGGTATTTGTTAAGCTGCTGCATACATCAAATTTGCACTTGTTTTTAAAGGCAATTGAAAGAAACCATTGAAATGCATTAATCTGAATTCTAGAATAAAAGATTTCTTTTTCCATGTAATATATTATTATTTTTATACTTTCATTTCACTTACCTGTAAATAAAGATTTTTTTCTATAAATTTTAAAGTAACTTCTTGCTTTATAAATATTTGATTTTTATGAGTAACACTCATAGAAAATGAATTAGTATTTTTAAAAAATTCTTGGGCATAATAAAATTTAGTTTCTCAAATTTTGAACAGAATCTCCCACCAAATATCAGAAAATTAGTTACAATTTGCTTCAAGATTTTCCTTTTAGTCTACCATATATTAATAGATGTTTTTATACATGATCAGGGCTTCTCTTGTGGCTCAGTTGTTAAGAATCTGCCTGCAGTGTGGGAGACCTGGGTTTGAGCCCTGGAGTTCGATCTTCTCCTGGGAAGATCCCCTGGAGAGGGGAAAGGCTACCCACTCCAGTATTCTGGTGTAGAGAAGTCCATGGACTGTATGGTCCATTGGGTCACAAACAGATGGACGTTTATGAGCAACTTTCTCAGGCATGAGCAGTATTGAGGTTATAGTACTTTGATAAATAACATATATTTGTCTACTTCCAAAGTTTGGAAGTGATTGAGCTGCATTATTGTTAAGCTGCTTAAAGGAAAAGGCTTTGATCTGTGGCCAAACTAGATTCCTGCTCTATCTTGTTTATACCAGCACACTCACTCTCTACCCTTCCTAAGTTATTCATTTGAGGAATATATCTGAAATTAAAACTGAGTTTTAGGCCAAACACATGTATCCTGGACTTTCGCCTCACAGATACTTGGGGAAAGAAAATAACAAAGAAAATAATTGCTCAGTTTTTGCAGAGATTGACTGGGTTACCCTCCCACCCAAGTAAGAAACACGGTTCAGTAGATGTCACTCAACAATCAGATAACTGTCAGTTTTCCTCATGGTCCAAGATAAATACAAGGGTGAGTGAAGGGTTTAGCATTCTTGCCACCTCTTCTTAAGACCTTCTGCTTCTGTTAGGCACACACCATTCCTGTCCTTTATCAAGCCCATTATTGCATGAAATGTTCCCTTGGTATCTCTAATTTTCTTGAAGAGATCTCTGGTCTTTCCATCCTATTGTGTTCCTCTAATTCTTTGTACTGATCACAGAGGAAGGCTTTCTTATGTTTCCTTGCTATTCTTTGGAACTCTGCATTCAAATGGGAATATCTTTCCTTTTCTCCTTTGCTTTTTGCTGCTCTTCTTTTCACAGCTATTTGTAAGGCCTCCACAGACAACCATTTTGCCTTTTTTCATTTCTTTTTTTGGGCATGGTCTTGCTCCCTGTCTCCTGTACAATGTCATGAACCTCCATTCATAGTTCATCAGGCACTCTGTCTATCAGATCTAGTCCCTTAAATCTATTTCTCACTTTCATTGTATAATCATTAAGGATTTGATTTAGGTCATAGCTGAATGGTCTAGTGGTTTTCCCTACTTTCTCCAATGTAAGTCTGAATTTGGCAATAAGAAGTTCATGATCTGAGCCACAGTCAGCTCCCAGTCTTGTTTTTGCTGACTCTATAGAGCTTCTACATCTTTGGCTGCAAAGAATATAATCAGTCTGATTTTGGTGCTGACCACCTGGTGATGACAATGTGTATTTTCTTGTGTTGTTGGAAGAGGGTGTTTACTATGACTAGTGCGTTCTCTTGGCAAAACTCTACTAGCCTTTGTATCCAAGTACTGCATTTCGGGCTCTTGCTGACTATGATGGCTACTCCATTTCTTCTAAGGGATTCTTGCCCACAGTAGTAGATATAATTATCATCTCAGTTAAATTCACCCATTCCAGTCCATTTTATTTCACTGATTCCTAAAATGTTGATGTTCACTCTTGCCATCTCCTGTTGACCATTTCCAATTTGCCTTGATTGATGGACTTTACATTCCAGGTTTGTATGCAATACTAATTGCTCTTTACAGCATTGGACCTTGCTTCCATCACCAGTCACATCCACAACTGGGTGTTATTTTTGCTTTGGCTTCATCTCTTCATTCTATCTGGAGTTTTTTTTCCCACTGATCTCCAGTTGCATATTGGGCACCTACTGACATGGGGAGTTCATCTTTCAGTGTCCTGTCTTTTTGCCTTTTCAAACTGTTCATGGGGTTCTCAAGGCAAGAATACTAAAGTGGTTTGCCATTCCTTTTCCAGTGGACCACATTTTGTCAGAGGTCTCCACCATGATCAGTCCATCTTGGATGGATGTACATAGCATGGCTCATAGTTTCACTGAATTTCATTAATCATGATGGTGTGATCACTCAACTAAAGCCAGACATCCTGGAATGTGAAGTCAAGTGGGCCTTAGGAAGCATCACTATGAACAAAGTTAGTGGAGGTGATGGAAATCCAGCTGAGCTATTTCAACTCCTAAAACAAGATACTGTGAAAGTGCTGCAGTCAATACACCAGTAAATTTGGACAACTCAGCAGTGGCCCCAGGACTGGAAAAGATTGGATTTCATTCCATTCCCACAATGTCGAAGAATGCTCAGATTACCACACAATTGTACTCATCCCACACCCTAGTAAAGTAATGCTCAAAATTTTCCAAGCCAGGCTTCAACAGTATGTAAACTGTGAACTTCCAGATGTTCAAGATGGTTTTAGAAAAGGCAGAGGAACCAGAGATCAAATTGCCAACATCCGCTGGATCATCAAAAAAGCAAGAGAGTTCCAGAAAAACATTTATTTCTGCTTTATTGACTATGCCAAAGCCTTTGACTGCGTGGATCACAATAAACTGTGGAAAATTCTGGAAGAGATGGGAATACCAGACCACTTGACCTGCCTCTTGAGAAATCTGTACGCAGATCAGGAAGAAACAGTTAGAATTGGACATGGAAGAGCAGACTGGTTTCAAATAGGAAAAGGAGTACCTCGAGGCTGGATATTGTCACCCTTCTTATTTAATTTATATGCAGGTACATCATGAGAAACACTGGGCTGGATGAAGCACAAGCTGGAATCAAGGTTGCTGGGAGAAATATCAATAGCCTCAGATTTGCAGGCTTATGGCACAAAGTGGACGCATGTTCAAGCCCTTGCTCGCCCAGCAGCCCCAGCGCAACCTGGGGAGAAAGAGGCCCACCGTGTCCCTAGGTCGGGCCTGCCCTTTCACCCAAGGCTGTGCTGCTGGGGGAGCCGAGGAGCTGCCTGACAGACTTAGGCTCAGCAGAGCTCTCGGAAGGTGCAGGGAGCAGGAACAGACGTGTGCGTGTGGTTCTGCCTTTGCCTGGGTGTGTGGGCCCTCTAGCTGGTCCCCAGGCCCAGGGAAAAGAGCCCTGAGAGAAGACCACCCGGAAGCGCTTTTCTCCCGGGCCTGGAAGCAGAGTGCGCTGGATGCGGGGAAAGCGTGCCTCCTCCAGGGAAGAAGCGGCAGCCAGCCGGCGCGTGTTTGCAAGCGGCCTTTGGACGGCATCGGGGAGGTATCCCAGCAGAACACCAGTTCTGCTCAGAGGCCGGAAATGCCAGAGGCAGAGCACAGCATGCCCCCTGCCCTTGCACAGCCTTGCAGTGACATTCCCGGCTTCAAGTGGTTCTGCCCCATGAAGGAGCAGGCTGCAGGAGTGTGTCAGACATGCCCGGGGGCCTTCCTGGGGTCAGCTCCGCTAGGGCCTTCCCACTGAGCTAAGCCCCAGGCCTCCCAGGAGAGGAGGTGCAGACCGGCTGTCTCCACACTACCAGGGCCTAGAGCTTTGGGGGCTCTGTCAGAGAGGAGGGAAGAGCAGAACTGATTAAAGTCGAACGATGAAGTGATAGTTGGTCAGGAAATGAAAAACAAGGCATGTTCAACCTTTAAATCCTCCACTGTAACCACCTGAAACCCAAACACACTTGACAAGAATATTAGAGCACAGTCATTGGTTTCCTATCTTTACAGTCAAATAAAATAATAGTAAATATCAATTATTATACATCTGTGAAATCCTACAGACAGGATTATCCTCGTGTCTTCATGTCCTCAACCCATACAAAGTTGCAGAAATGAGCAATTGCAATTCGATGAAATATACATATACATTTTAAAGAAATACAATAAGAATGTCCCCAGTATATCAATTAAAGCAGTTTGTGAAGAAAGTGTGGCTATATAGAACCATATTGTATTCTGTAGGTAGAATAAGAAATATAAAATAGAACTTGGCTACATGAATAGAACACAAAATTAAGTTTTTTCCTAATTAAAAGAATCTGTGAAATCTAGAGGTTTAGGTAATAACTATTGTATGTTATCTTATATTAAATCCTGATGACATCTACAAGCAGAAATGTTTTCCTACCTATAGCTCTTAAGCGTAGTCCAATAAGACGATGTTTTAGATGAGAGAAGGAAGACATCAAACTTGGAAAAGCTGTCTTTTGAGTACCATGGGGACTAGAGATAATGGTCTACACTGCCCAAGGTAGTCCTACCTGTACACACACAACAAGTGGAAAGGACATGCAATGCCTGTTTGACATACTTGTGGTCTCTGGGAGGCTGGAATGTGTCCGGGATTTGGGTTTAAGCACGTACTTCTCTTTCTACTAAAGAATTTGACCTTAACTTAAGCTTTTTTTCATTTTTTGAGTGATTAAAAAACAAAACAACAACAACAACAAAAACTTGGGCTCTGTTGCATAGGTGCTGTGCTAAGCCATTTGGATCCAGTGTATGTGTTGTGACTAAGCTGACCCAGGTACTGGGCAGGGAGAGCCCAGCACTGGTGCTGGGAGCTCATTCTTGTGCTGCTGTTCTGAGTTCATTCTTTGGGCCCCTAGGGTTTTGTTTTACAGGAGATGAACTTGGAACAGAAACCACCACCAGCCTCTGCTGAGAAGGCTTTTGTGTCCAAGGGAGTGGGAAGGGGAAAGGGACAGGCTGCAGCCTCTCCTAGCTGATGCAGCAGACATAGCAGTTCAGTTCAGTTCAGTTCAGTTCAGTCGCTCAGTCATGTCAGACTCTGCGATCCCATAAATCGCAACACGCCAGGCCTCCCTGTCAATCACAAACTCCAGGAGTTTATTCAAACTCATGCCTGTCGAGTCGGTGATGCCATCCAGCCATCTCATCCTCTGTCATCCCCTTCTCCTCCTGCCCCCAATCCCTCCCAGCATCAGGGTCTTTTCCAACGAGTCAACTCTTCGCATGAGGTGGCCAAAGTATTGGAGTTTCAGCTACAGCATCAGTCCTTCCAATGAACACCCAGGACTGATCTCCTTTAGGATGGACTGGTTGGATCTCCTTGCAGTCCAATGGACTCTCAAGAGTCTTCTCCAACACCATAGTTCAAAAGCATCCATTTTCGCCATAGCAGTAGAAACACTATAATCTCCCCCTTGGTGTCTGGCCCAGTGGACACAGTCTTGATGCAGCAGTAATGCCTCGACTCTTTAGGTGGAGCTCACATATATGTACTACACATGACGCGTGACCAAGCCAGTACCTGGTGACACATATGAGCAGTACTACAAATGATCTCAGCTGTTACATAGTCATTATTTACAAAACATGGCGCAAGAGAGCCTGAACCTGCCCCCTTAGCTAATTTACTCTCTCCCCACACTCCACCCCTTCAGGGTCTCTTGCCTCACAGTCTATGCATAGTCCATCTTCTGTGATATTCACCTGGTGAGTAACACTGACCCTTGAACTTAAATCTTGCAACAAAAGTAGATGCTAAAACAACAGTTACATCTCCAACACATAGCAAAACCAAGCCTACTGACCACCTAGTTCAATAAAGAAAATAGACTTAATTTAGATAATTATTCCCTGACGCTTAAGTTCTGACGCTTAAGTGGGCAAAACCTAGTGAAAAGCAAGGCTTCTGTTCATTGCTTTTGTTGGAATTGTGTCTAGAAATCCTTAATTGGCCAGAATTTGAAATACAATTTGATTGTTAGCATGATGTCACTATATGTGTAGTATTGACAGAGTCAATTCCTGGGCAGATTGATAAGAAGTCCAGGGGTTCCCAAGGAGAGAGGAGTCTGGAATTCTCAAGGAGGAAGAAAGGACAAATGAGTTTTTGTTTGTTTGTTTGTTTGTTTTTTTCTCTCTACATTCCTTAGGATTATATGATAATAATGTATCCTGCTTGAGGACAGTCTCTGGAAAAACCTTCTGGCTAATTCTGTTATCTTAAAATGTAAATTACGGGAGTGGGTCTAGTGAGGTCTTTACAACCTCCAGACATTCTTTTGATTCACTGTAATAAGTAATTAAAAGGTATACAACTCCATTGCTAACACTAGCAAGAAACATCTGTCTCCCTATGTAGTTACTTTGTTTATTCTTAAGAAGAGAACTTTTAAGATTTAACTATCTTAGCAGCTTTCAAATATGCCATGCTGTGTTATTGACTGCTGTCATCATGTTGTACATTGTATCTCCATACTTATTTACTTTATAACTAGATATAAAAGTTTGTACCTGTTGATGTCCTTCACTCCTTTTGCCCAACCCCACTTCCTACCTCTGGCATTCACCAATCTGCTCTCTGTATCTATGAACTTGGTTTTGTTGTTGTTGTTTAGATTCCACATAGAAGTGAGATCTCATATCAATCTCGGTTTGATTTACTTCACCTAGCATAATGCCCTCAAATTCCACTGATGCTGTCAAAAATGGAAAACTTCCATTTTTCATAACTCAATAATATTCTACCATGTGTGTATGTATGTATTCCACATTTCCTTTATTCACATACCCATTTAAAAAAATTATTTATTTGACTGCATTGGGTCTTAATTGCAGTGCATGAGATTTTCATTGTGTCTTGTGAGACACTCTATCACCTGGAAGTCAAGTTGCAGTCTTTGCCCTCAAGAGGATAGAGGAGATATGCATCATATGTGAAGTGCCTTTATCTTCCTTGGCCAAGTCCAGTCCACCATTTTTCCCTGTGAAACTTCAGGGAAACCTCCACAGGGGCAACTTCATCCTTGCAGGATTTTCTATTAAGGACCTGCAACCCCCCTCCCCAGCACAGGCACCTGGCCCCTTCAAGTTGAGTTCAGTCAGCCAGTCATGTCCAACTCTTTGTGACCCCATTGACTTTAGCATGCCAGGTTTGCCTGTCCATTACCAACTCCTGGACCTTGCTCAAACTCATGTCCATCAAGTCGGTGATACCATCCAACCATCTTATCTTCTGCCATTCCCTTCTCCTTCTGCCTTCAATTTTTCCCAGCATCAGGGTTTTTTTTCAATGAGTCAGTTCTTCCCAGGGCCAGTGGCAGACCATGCCACGTTGTCTGGCAAACGGGATCTCACCACCTGTTATGTCTTTTCAATGCTATCTGGTGAAATGTCCACCACTTCCCAGTCTTCCAGCAGAGCCCACACTGAGGGGATCACAGCCACAAGGTACCACATGCTATATGGTGGTCAGTGGCTTCCCCATCCAATGGAGACTCAGGCTCTCCTACCTGCTGGGCAGCCTGTCGACTTTTCCAATTGTACTGCTGATCCTGCTCATGATGTCGATTATCTTGCTGTTGACATTTTCTACACTGTTCACTGAACCCAGAGTAGGCAAGGCACGAGCTAAGAGGCTGGAAGGAGACTTGAGAAGCTTTAGAAACTGCAGACACATTTATTCTCACCTGGCTGATACTGCAGCCATATCAGCAGCCACAGCATAACCCAACACAACACAACCTCTCCTGGCTGACACAACAGCCATGACGGTATTCTCTCCTGGCTGAGACAACAGCTATAACAGTATTCTCTCCTGGCTGAGACAACAGCCATAGCAGTAGAAGCGCTATATTCTTTCCTCTTGTGTCTGACCCAATAAACACAGCTGTGATGCAGCAGAATGCCTCCACTCTTCAGTCAGGACTCGCATGTGTACTGCACATGGCCTGTGGCCAAGCTAGTACTTCATGACGTGCATGAACAGTGCTACATATGATCTCAGCTGTTATATAGTCATTATTCACAAAACGTGGGGCAAGAAAGCCTTAAAACACTATCTTGGCTAATTTGCTCTCTCCCCACACAGAAAAACAAAGGAAAGTAAGTAAACCAGCCCAGGAGATGGACTGGGTCAACTCTGGAAGCATCTTTGATGAGGGAATAATGACTTGGCAAGTACTTCTTTTCTTTTTCTTTTCCATGTTCATATATACAAAGTCACATCCTGTTATCCAGCAAACCCCCACACCTGTTTATTTTTCTTCCCTTCATTCCTTCCTTTTCCCTTCCTTTCTATCTGGTCTATTTTCCACCTATCTACCCTCTACCTCCTTCAATCTAACTTTTGAGAGAGTGTCAATAAGAATCTATGGAATTAAAATATTTTGGCCTTAAACTTTTGTGTAGCGTTCTGTGAATCCAGTTAGGTAAAAACTCCACAGTGCTGAGCCTTCAGGCGCTCACACACACACAGGAAAGGAATGCACCTAGGGAAGCAATTTTCAAAACTGTGTTTTGAGTGGGTCTAGGGAAACTTCATCATGGACTCTTTGGTTTGGGGTGAGGACCACAGGTACACACTGGTTTAGTGTGGATCCCACCTCAAGTCAGAAAATTCTAGAAGCCCAGTAGTCATTTAGGTATTTTTTTGGCTTCGAAAAAATGTCCTGAACTTTGAAGAAACCTTGACAATTCCTTAGGAGTTACAATTTTTTTATTTTTAAATTTTGATTATTTATTTATTTTTGGCTGTGCTGAGCCTTCATTGCTGTGGAGGCTTTTCTCTATTTGCAGAGAGTGAGGGCAATATTCTAGTTGTGGTTCGAGGGCTTCTCATTGCAATAGTTTCTCTTGTTGCACAGGACAGACTCTGGCGTGATCAGCCTTAAGTAGTTGTGGCACATGGGCTCAGTAGTTGTAGCTGCAGGGCTCTAGAGTACAGGCTCAGTAGTTGTGGTGTATGGGCTTAGTTGCTCCATGGTATGTGGGACCTTCCCAGATCAGGGGTCAAACCTATGTCTCTTGCTTTGGCAGGCGGATTCTTTACCACTGAGCCCACCAGGGAAGCCCTACAATTGCTTTTAATAGTGAACTTCACATTGCATGAAGTATGTGGTAAGAAAATGAATGGGATAAAGTGAAAGGAAACTCAAACAGGGGCTCTGTATCAACCTAGAGGGGTGGGATGGGGAGGGAAATGGAGGGAGGTTCAAAAGGGAGGGGATATATGTGTACTTATGGCTGATTCACATTGAAGTTTGATAGAAAGTAACAATATTCTGTAAAGAAATTATTCTTCAGTAAAAAAATAAATAAATAATAAAAAATTATTGTCTTAGGACAAAAATGATTAAAAAAAAATCTACCTGAGAGAGACTGAGATGATCAAAAAGAGACTTTGACTTCAAAAGTCAATAATCTTCTGCTGGAGGTAAGACTGTCACAGAGCAATGAGGAAGAGACTTTGTCACTAGGGAGAGAATAGATTTTTAAACAAATAAAAGAAACGCTAATCAAAAGCACAGAGGTAGGAAATTTTCAGCATATTCAGGAAACCAGTGTTCCTGACAGAGGACCTCCAGACGCTCTCGTGGCTTTCACAGCAGAATGAACCTAACAACCTGAACAAACCCTTTTTAAATTCCTGGGTACCCAGATTCTAAATGCTTTATCATTCACAGGCAAGACCTCATGCCATTCTCCTCAGTGGATGGTGTGATACATCATTTCAATTTGCTTACTTTACATAATCCTCAGGAGTTTGTTAACTGTATTGTGCCAAGCAGAAAGCATGATGACATCAGAGCAGTGAATCTGTGTAAACTTCATCTTTACCTCTAGGGAACTAGCTGGCCCCAGGAGCCTATAGGCCCTGCTCTGGGCCATGAAGGAATGAATTCCACATCATCGCGTTTATGAGACATATTCATCTGCTGCTGAAGCTATGCATGACAAACCATCACTGCAAATTATTTCACATGAAACTTCACATTGGGCAGAGAAATTATTAAATGTTTAGCATAGGTTATGACTTCTACGTGCAATTTTTAAAATTAAAGTGGAACTTTTCTTACTGCACATGTAATTTTTGGATACGCAATCGAGGCATACCATATTCTGTTGTAAAGTGTGAAGCACTGTTTTAAAGTTTAAAGCAAGGCTGGAAAGAATAGAATAGAGTGCAATCCTTGTAACATCTGAATTAAAAAAAAATAGTATAATAAGAATCACAGTGCCATAGGCAGAATGTAGATTGTAGATTGAGATCAGTTACATTTGCTGATCTTGTCTCTTGTAATATAGCCCTTATGTTAAGCTGAGAACCTTATAACAATCTTAATTTTGTATTTCCCCTGTAAGGCAGTAGGCCAAGTTAATTAAACTGAAGAAAGAAATATTTTGCTGGATATTTTTGTCAGGTTAAAATTGGCAATTGAATGGAAGCAAAATTGTAAGAAAAGGAAATCAGAGTCTTCCAGTGTATATATTGTGAGGAGAAAAAAAAACAAAGAAACATGGATAATCCCTTCAAATCAAAAGCTATCTTTGGGATAAACAATGTATTTGGAAATTTCTTTCTATTCATAATAAACTACAGACTGCTGATGTTTAAGAAAAAGTCTTATAAAGGTATAGTGGGTGGGAGATAAACATTCAAGTGAGATAACAGAGGGTCTTGAAGATCAGACTTGGAAGAGTTTGAATGACGAAGTTACAGGAGGTGAATTGATGTCAGTGAGTCTGCAATAATCTCTTTCTACTGTGCCTTTATGAACTACAGATGCTGCAAAATTAAGTTGCTGTTTCCTGTGCTACCACATAGCTAGGATTCTTTTTGAAAATTAGGTTCTATCAATTTGATGCACTTGTGTGAAATTTGGAGCTATGGATTTTTCTATGATAATGTCCAATGATCTGGCTTCATGCAGGCCAAGCAGGAGACAGTAGAGTGGTATGTTCCATGGGGGTCCAGTTACCCACTACCCACCTAGACAGACTTGCCTGGGAAGCCAATGTAACAGTGTCCTTCTGGAAGTCATTTCTCAAGGCACTGATTCTCACCTGTGAAACCATTTTGTTCTTTTTATTAAATTGACATAAATAGAGAGGTTTCTGTGTCTTGTAACAGAAGCATGGAATTTTCTAGACACTGAGGAGATCTTGAATATTTGAAGACTTCTGAATGAATTATATAATATCATATACTACATTAACATTCACTTTATCTGCTAATTAAGACTGAATTGTTTTTCACACTGAACAGTGTAGGCAGGCACCCAAAAGTGTTGAGTGGGGTTAGGAAATATTACTGTGGGAGTAAAAATAGATGGACTCCCCAAAACAACTTGCACCTTAGGAGGAGAGTGTTGACCCTAGGCTAAGGGTCACCATCTCCAATGCAGTAGACTATAGTGGAAGGGAGACACAATGCACGTGTCTTCAACCACAGGAACACACTAGTTGGAAGGAGCTTGATCCCTTCATTCTTGCCTAAACAGTTGCAGTCATTTTTCTCTGCAAATGGAGAAAAAAACAAAATACAGAGCAAATCTGTGCTTGTAAACCATTCTGGATTTTAGTTGCCTTGTCTGGCTGAGAAATAAGAACAGTGAAGGGAACAGGCAATGACTAATAGGTTGGAATTACTTTTCAACTGCTTTAATCATTGAGAACAGCATTATGTCTGAAAGAATCAATTATGGATTATAAATTTCAACTATTGCAAGTTCTTAAGGAGAAATGCTAATAAGGAAATAAAATTAGTGGTTTCCAATTCATCAGTTTTTCTAACTCACACCCTAGGATCAGGGTGAAAAAAAAAAAAAGTTGAATACATTCTGTGGCAACAATATCAAAGCAACATTAGACTGTTGATGTCAACATATCCACAAGCAAAGAAATGAAAGAAGCCAGCCATCATTTTGAGAGTACTTGTTCAGATTTCCCCACCCAGTCTTTCTGTGTCAGCGAGAAGGGCAGTGGCCATGGAGCTGCCTGGATGCTGGTGGGAATGTAACCTCCCTCACCTGATGTGACTGGAGCAGAAGATGCCTCAGCAGAGCCTAGTGTTTGTGGGTAGGAGCCACCTCTTCCCATTCTCCCTCCTCTGTAAGGTTCATAAGACCTAGTTACATTCACCTAGTGTGTTAATTCTCATCTATGGAAAAAAAAGAACTCACCATTTATATATTTAAAGACTTTCCTGGGGCATGGAATCTTGTGGGTTCAAAGTGGGCATGGAGACCAGGAGACTAAGACTCATTAGGTTTCTGTGTTCTTATTAAAAAGTTTTATTCTTTAGCCCAGAAAATGGAAGCCTTCAAACTTCAGGATAAATAATTTATAAGAACTAAAAATTTTAGTTCACTGATTCCTAGAATGTTGACATTCACTCTTGCCATCTCCTGTTTGACCACTTCCAATATGCCTTGACTCATGGACCTAACATTCCAGGTTCCTATTTGATATTGCTGTTTATAACATCGGACATTGCTTCTATCACCAGTCACATCCACAACTGGGTATTGTTTTTGCTTTGGCTCTATCCCCTCATTCTTTCTGGAGTTATTTCTCCACTGAGCTCCAGTAGGATATTGGGCACCTACTGACCTGGGGAGTTCCTCTTTCAGTATCCTTTTACCTTTTCATATTGTTCATGGGGTCCTCAAGGCAAGAATACTGAAGTGGTTTGCCATTCCCTTCTCCAGTGGACCACATTCTGTCAGACCTGTCCACCATAACCC